ACCATTCGCTGTCTAACCATTGACCGAGTCAGTTCAGAACAAACCCCAGAACCAATCACTATCCATCCCTTTGTAATTTAACCTTATATGATTGTACGGGCCAGTAGATGAATCATTGAAAACAATTGTTTGCCTCAGACTGATGTTCTTGAAAAAAACAATTCTATCTAATGGAAAAGCGCATTAGGCCCTACGCCAAGGAAGTCCAAGGTAGCGCAATCATTTTACAGGGTGAGCGCAGCTGATTTGCGATTCTCCAAATTTGGCAATGATTGATCTCCTTTACAGAGGTCATCATCTCCGGAAGATTGCTTGTGGGTTTCTGAAACATCACACTTGAAAGGAGATCAACAACGATGAAGATACTGGTTATCTTCCACATGAGTGCGCCAGCACACAGCTCTTCAATTGTGTAGAAAATAATCCATGAATAAGTATTCCAGTCGCTTACTCTATTCCCCATATCTGGCTTTCTCTAAATTCTAAATACTAAATATCTAAGTGTAAAAATGCTTTATTTGGGCAACTATTTCTTAACGGCGGTAGTGACTTTAAAGACGTAGAGGAGATTTTGGGTCACGAAATAAAGTTCTATTGGGATGAAAGTATTTCATCGTTACTAGAGCAAGCGTGTGACCTTTGAGGTTGCTTAGGTTGAAAAGTTAGCATTTAAAAAAGCTGCATCTCATTCTGTATTGTCGGAGCTGAATCTTTTCTTTCATCATTCATGCATGTAAACAAATGGGAAGAAGATTGATTTTATAATTCACATCCAGTGCAGCTTGAATGTGACTAGTACATGATTCTGAATGTAAGGTATCGTTTAATGCGGCTTGACGCAACAGCTTTGGTGAACCAAAGAAGACGGGTATTGGTAGGGCTCAATTGGATCTTGAATCCACTGTTGCACGTAATCTGATGACCCGAAATCATCAAATGTCTGCTGATCGCAGATGACTGTAGCATGTTTGTGGCATGCAGTGTGACTTGAACCTGCCTTGTGTACAGTCTCACCATAAAACCATTTTGGCACGTACTATTTCAATCAGAAACTCAGGGATTCCTAGGTTCTTACATTGTACCTATCACCGCCGTCGCACAAGAGGGTACCTACAGGGCCCATGTGCATGTGGGTTGCCACAGTTGACGAGCTGATCAGGTGTCAATTTGCAGTTAGCAATCGCGAGAGCAATATTACTGCATCAGCGGTACATAAGCCGTTCGGCGACTTTAATATAAGTAAGTAATTCAGAAGATTATTTTATCAAAAGCCTTCACTTTTTAAACCTCCCTTACTTGGTAAATGCCAACTGAAACCAAAAATGTAGTTAATCATTTTTGGGTTCTGTTAATCTTGGAGCAGTATTTGTTTCTGTTGTGGAAACGGTCACATGCTGGGAGCTCCTAATATATGAATAATACGACGACTGCGCGTCACCCGTTAATCATCAAGGTTGCTTAAATTTCACACCTAACTTACCGAACGTATGGAAAGCAAGTTGCTGCTCCTAATGAAGTGAACTAACTCGTGTTGACTAAATGTGTAATCCAGAATGTTCTCCTTAGCTTAGGAACGTAAAATAAATTATTTTGGTGAATTTGAATGGTTAGATGCAGTGTGTTACACGTTATTTACCGTGGGAAAACACACATAGAAGCAGGTAAGGCTGGTGGCTTTCGAATATGTTTGCTTTAACACACGAACACGCCAAATATATTGGGTATATTATCATAAAATTTGAGTGTACTCTGAGTTACCCTAAATGAAATGGGTAAAGGAAAAAACCTGATAATTAACATAGTAAACTGGAATGTTCACAACTCGTGATTGCTGTTTTATGGTGGCATGGGTCCAAATATTCCCCTAAATTACAACAGCAAGCATCCCAATTTACATAACACACTTTTCTCCAAAACTTAGTTGTAGCCATTTTCTACTAGATTATACTGAATCATCAAACTTCGGTAAGTAAACAGTCCTTGACTATTTTTACTCACCAAATATTTTATTGCTGTTTGTCCAGATTTACGCAACGTCAGCAAGAAGTTACGTAATGTCGTCGGAGGAGCAATATGTTACCTACCGCCACCTGTTTACACAAGTCGCCTGGAGAGATGCCGTATACCGAATGGATTGATATGTCTTTAGACCATTTGTTACCAACAGTATCGCTCATTTTACCTTTCAACTCCAACACAACTAGCCTCCACTAGTGTCTCGCAATTTTATTATTTGTAACTTAACAGTACTCCAAAGTTTCTACTGTTCATTTTGACTTCGTACTATACTGGGAAGCGATAATTAGATTGCGATTTGTAGTGAACGTAAATTTCCTACGCATTCAGTATTAAACAAGGTTAGATTTCTTGGTTCCTGTAACTTCCGATGTTACATTTTTAACCTTGGCGCATTCTGTTAATGTGCTGTTCGCTGGCGAGTTACCTTGACGTGCTGTTCTCTGCACGTGCTTACCTGCTGTCTTTATCTTGTAGAGTTTGTCAATGCGCGCTATGCCCTGCCAATGGTAGTGTTCTCCGTATTCTCTTAGTTGGCACGTTTCTTTCCTTTTATCTATTATGACTAGTCTGTCATATGCACTCCACATGATACTCGTCTAATTGCGTTATTCACCTGGCTACTACGGTACACTGGGTTTTGGAAAATGATGTAGTTGATAGTGTGACAGTTGCATAATACGCACGAAACAGATAAAGCTTGTAGGATGTAGGATGTTTTCTGTGAATAAACCAATTCAGAGAAATAAAACATTGCAAACAAGTTGAACCTCGCACTCGTGTACTCATTATTGTGGTATGGACTATGCGTGTTTGTCGGCTTAGTCAAGGGACTATTGCATATCCGTTTCTCACCCCTTCTTAAAGCCGTAGGTACAAGTTTTTGGCAGACGATTATGCTATACTTAATATTTGAGACATGCTCACTTCAAATCTTTCAGCGGAACATAGTATACTGTATAAATAGTTTGTTGTAATAGTAGTAAATATATTTTATCGCGGCCTAGACTCAGTCTTTGATACACGGAGGGATGTACAAGACATCTATAACTAACACATTGACACGTATAAATATAACAAGGGAATCTTAGTCCAAAATTTAGCTGCGTCTGTTTTCTATAAGTTGGTGTGATTCAACTAACGAATGTAAGTGCTGCGTTTCAGCATAATGCCTCACATTATGTAAAGAAATTGGAAGCGCATAATTGACTTAAGTCGGAGGAAAGCAACAAGTGGGATTAAATTATAGCGAGGCATATCTGTCGAATATCCAGCCGAATATGTCGCTTTGCTAGTTTTAGATAATGGCTGCTTAGCTGGTGAAATGGCTAGGATTCAGAAACTATTAGTTAATATAACTGGGGGTTCTATGCGAATTGAGAGCCAAAATATGGTTACTGCGTAGGTGTTGAACTCCAATGTACAATCCAGTGCGTTTCAGTCTAGAATGGTACAGATATTTAAAGCCCAGAATACGAATGCAAATTATGTACTTACTTCTTCACACCATGGAAGTGGAAAAATACTGTCTGAATACAGTTTAATTTTCTGCTGCATCGACTAATTCGTGCGGTTTGAGATTTAAAGTTGTAGTTCATAATAGGTCCTTTACTATGACTGGGCTATCTCCGTTGGTAAGTTGAGGGGATCACACCAGCCGGAGGTGGGCAGCTAGACCTATCCATCAAGCTAGGTTGGCAATACATTTAACATTAATTTGTTGGTTCACTTTTCACCAGCCACAATATTGATGTGCATTGTTAAGCCTATATACTAATATATTTTTGAATACAATCTAGTAGCATGCAATCATAGCTTATGATCACGTTCCAACATCCGTGACGGTTGGTGACATCAACCCAATACAAGGCAAGTGAACGAGACAAGGCTTACAAGAAATCGGTCAATCGATAAACAAGCCAAACTGCAGGTGCTTGTGAGTCATTGGTTTGACAAACACGCCAGCGATGACTGAGGTCAGCTGCACTAAATGGCAACCAATAGTTGGATCATTCATCCATTACCCCACGCGACGGGATAAGTGCATTTTTCGGTTGGAACGACAGATCTCATTGAATATGAATCCACTTAGCAGTAAACCTAAGAATATACATGTACTGAGATTGTGAAGACAGATTTGGCCTGCTGTAACTGTGTCATTGCGACTCACGCTAAATGTGGCAGCGCAAGTCCAATAGCATTACAGAGGCTCAACAAGGTGACAGATGCGCTCTGGTTATACTGGACATCCGTAGTAATACTAACTGTCAGTTGATTGGCTGATTGTTCGCTGAGCTCGGCAGGTTGACTGCAAACGTTTCGTCACCACTCGAGGTGACATCGTCAGTGCGAGTGTATTTAGCAGTGTGGCGCGTACGAAGCGTCGTTGAGTGTGAGTGATCGATCTCCTAGCCGCTACTCTGAGTTTGGATTGTTCGACGAGCACATGACCATAGAAATCGGTCTCTGATTCTCACCTCGTAGTGTACGCGCGTTGGACTCTTCGCTTGTCGTCGTTTGTTGCAGTAGTCTAGCGCTCTTTTCCGTCAGATTTCTTCTAGTAATTCGGTGATCTTTCATTCGTAATGCCGTATATATAGTATCTATTTCAACATGTCGGTTTATTGAATTGTCGGTAGAATACCGTGCCTCCAAGTATTCTCTAGCTTGCCTCGAATTTCCACGGGCTAGGATCTTAACGTTCTCTAGATCGAAGTTGTGGCCTTCCTGGTCTTCATGCATGGAAACTAATGAATGTGGGTCGTGTCTCCGTATGGCCATTCTGTGTTCGTTGATCCGTGTTGATAGTTTCCTTCCAGTTTGTCCGATGTAGTGTTTGTCACACTCTTTGCAGTTAATTTTGTAGATGACCTCATTCTGACTGCCTTGTTTAACTTTGTCCTTCGGTCTTGAAAGCAATCTTCGCAGAGTACCTGTTGGTTGGTGGGCTACCAAGATTCTATGTGGTCGTAGCAACCTTGACGTTAGTTCAGATAATTCTTGATGTAAGGAAGCGCTACCCGTTTATCAATGTTTTCCTGCTGTTGCTGCTGCACCCTCTTCTTTGCGCTTCTTCTGATGAAGTTTCTTGGATACCCGTTGTTTTGCAATACCCGGTATAGGTGGTTCTCTTCCTTCTTCCTCAATTCTGTCGTGCTGCAGTGTGTTTCGGCCCTATTGAAAAGGCTTTGAATGCAGCTTTTCTTGTGGTTCAGGGGATGGTTGCTGTGGTAGTTTAATATTTGGTCGGTGTGAGTCTTCTTTCGATATACACATGTCTGAAGTGTTCCGTCAGTGTTTCTTTGGACCAGTACATCTAAGAATGGTAACTGGTTGTCTTTTTCGAGTTCAATTGTAAACTTGATATCCTGGAATGTGTTGTTGATTAACTCATTAGTATTCTGCATGGAATCTCGTTTGATGACGACAAACGTGTCGTCCACGTACCGGATCCATGATTTTGGTTTATTTAACGGTATTGTGATGCTCTCCAGTCTTTGCATCACAGCGTCTGCAATAAGTCCTGAGATGGGCGATCCCATGGGCGTTCCTTTCAGTTGTTGGCTTACTTGCCCATCAAAGTAAAAATAAGTAGTCATGCAGAGATCCAAGAGTTCCCATATGCTTTCCGTTTTGAGGTTGCCTGTTGTGTTCGATTGCTTTTGAAGCAATTCCATCATGGTTGCTTTTGCAAGTTCGTGACTGATCGACGTGAAGAGCGCGGTGACATCAAACGACAGCATGATTTCATCTTCCTCTATTGTAACACACCTCAGTTTGTTGATGAATTGTTCAACATTGATGATGCTTTGTTCAGAGCCGGCAATTAGATGTTTTAATTTCTTCCACATGCATTTTGCCAATTTGTACGATGGGGTTCCTGGCAACGAGACGATTGGACGCAATGGGACTCCGTCTTTGTGTACCTTTGGCAGTCCATAGAACCTTGCAATGTTTGTGTCCTCAGCTTTCATCTTCCATCGCTCCAGCTTTGTAATCTCACTCGCTGCTTGTAGTTTCTTCAATGCTGTGTTGATTTGAGTACTCAGTTTTGTACTAGGGTCCTGATCTATGGGACGATAGGTGGTCGTGTCGGACAGGAGTTGTTTGGCTTTTGCAACGTAATCTGATTTATCCATTATTACTGCCATGCGTCCCTTGTCAGCTGGTAGGATTACAATATTGTCTTCTTTTTGTAGCCTTCTGAGTCCTTCCCGTTCTTCTTTTGCGAGCGTATGTGTGAATTTGTTGCGAGTTATTGCAGGGACAACTTTTTGTCTAATTTGTTGCCGCGATTCTTCTGATAATCCATTTGTGTTCAAAACTTGTTCCAGATTCGCCAAGTAATCCTTATATGATGCATCTTTTACGTTAAGGTTTAGTCCTTTGATTAGTATGTTCACCTCCGTTGTGCTGAGTTGACGGCTAGACAAGTTTTTGATCCATCCTTCACCGTTGGGTTGGTCAGACTTTCTTGTAAGTTTATTCAACTTGATATTCAGTGCTAAGTTACGCTGGCTTCTGATGTTGTTTACTCGACGTTGAATCGCGGATTCAAGCTCTGCAAGTTTTTGGGTCCCATCGCAATAAGGCAGTCAGTTTTATTGTCATTTATAACCTTTTCATAATTCGAAGGCGATTATGAGCATCGGTTATCATTAATTTTATCATACGCGTCTCATATTGTCTTGTTAAAGCCCAAGCCTCTGGATGATCTAACCCCGGTCTGTGGTTCAAACTGGGTGGCAGAACATTTCGTCTCAGACATTCGTGGAGGAAGTATAGATGCTCGCATGTGGAAGCGCGTCGGCAGGCAAAGTTTTCCCAACGGCGAGCTTGTTGAAGCGTTGTACGCCCGAATAGCTGCAATATAGAAGCAAATGTTGGTAGCTCAGGTTGTTTAGTTGATTGGCTGATTGTTCGCTGAGCTCGGCAGGTTGACTGCAAACGTTTCGTCACCACTCGAGGTGACATCGTCAGTGCGAGTGTATTTAGCAGTGTGGCGCGTACGAAGCGTCGTTGAGTGTGAGTGATCAATCTCCTAGCCGCTACTCTGAGTTTGGATTGTTCGACGAGCACATGACCATAGAAATCGGTCTCTGATTCTCACCTCGGAGTGCACGCGCGTTGGACTCTTCGCTTGTCGTCGTTTGTTGCAGTAGTCTAGCGCTCTTTTCCGCTAGATTTCTTCTAGCGAACAATCAGCCAATCAACTAAGCAACCTGAGCTACCAACATTTGCTTCTATATCGCAGCTAGCTGTCAGTTTTATATTTATGCTCTAGG